AAAAAAAAAAAAAAAAAAAGAATGGGCGCCAGGTACCATGGCACATGCCTGTAATCTCAGCTACTCAGGATGCTGAGGCAGGAAGATCACAAGTTTGAGGCTAGCCCTTGCACTTTAGCAAGTCTCTGTCTCAAAAAATAAAAGGGGCTGGTGATGTAGCTCAATGCAAAGCCCCTAGGTTCAATCCTCCAAATGCCCTAGGGGAGGATACCAGTCTAAGGTCCAAGGGACAGAAAGCAAGAAACATCTATAGAGCTATAGAGGGGTCTGGGGAGATTCCAGAGAGAGGAAGGCACAGAAGGCCAAGGCAGGAGAGCACTGAAAGGATCAAGTGGATGATTAATGGTGTCAGAGCCCATAAAGAGTCCAGCAAAATAAAGAAAAATAGTGCCCATAATATATATATATATATATATATATATGTGTATATATATATATATACACACATATATATATATGTATGTATATTATGGCCCCCAAGGAGGCCACCCATGGCTTCAGTGATATCTAGCATCTGGGAAAAATGCCAGGTGGGTTGAGGAAAGGAATTTCTCCCATAGAAGAAAGGAAGTAGCCAGAAATGAGAGATAGAGGTGGGCTTGACAAAGAGATTTTTTTTTGGTACTGGGGATCAAACTCGGGACCTTGCACTTGGGAGGCAGGCTTTGGAACCACTGAGCTAAGTCCCTGGCCCTAGAAAGAGATTTTGATTAGGAGAAATCTCTTTTTTTTCCAGTACCAGGGATTGAACTCAGGACTTTGTGCTTGTGAGGCAGATGTGGCTCCATTGAGCTAAATCCCCAGCAGGAGAAATCTCATGTGTTACATATTGAAAGGAGAGTGTCCCTACAGCAGGGATGAATGTGGGGCGGGAGAGGTCAGGAATGGTGAGTGTCACCGGAGGTGGTGGCAGAGACCAGCATCAGTGCACAAGGCTTAATCTTGCATATGATGGAGATGTCATTTCTTCCTGAGGAAGCTGAGGAGTGGGGGTGGAAACATGGAACTATTTGCAGAGATCTGCAGAGGAAATTCCTCAGATGCATCTCCTTCCTCAGTAGCCACTTTATTTGGTGAATTTGGAGGCCAGGATGTCTCAGGAAAGTGAGAAGAGGGCTCAGCAGAGAGGTTTAGCATAGTCACAAGGCTGAAGGAAGATGGAAGATTACTTGAGATACCCTCAGATATTTCTGTCTGTGCCAAGCACTGTGCTGGCCTCTGAGGAGGTGAAAGTGAGGCATACAAACCATTCAGCAGTTCATAGTGAGAGGGAGACAAGCCCGAGCAAAGAAGGGTGCATTTGGAATCAGCAGAGTATATTTGGAATGGAGAGAAAAGATTCAGAAAAGACCCCATGGCGAAAAAGACTCAAGAGAAATAAATATTTGCCAAATTAAAAAATAGGAGTAGGTGAGAAGTGGGGACTTCCCCCTCCCCACAGCAGCATGAAACAGCAGTCAGAAATGGGGCTTGCCACAGAATCTGAGGCAGGAGGATTGCAAGTTCAAGATCAGCCAGGGAAATTTAGCAAGAACCTGTCTCAAAAAGAACAGTCCATATAGCTCAGTGGTACTTTCCTAGCATTAAGGCCCTTAGTTCAGTCTTTAGTACTACACTAGAAACACAGACACACACGAGAGAGAGAGAGAGAGAGAGAGAGAGAGAGAGAGAGAGAGAGAGAGATCCCCAGAGTTAGGCTGAGAAGGAGTGGGCATAGGAAGAGGTGGGTGGAATAAAGAAGTAGGCCATGGTCTGACATAGGCTTGAATGTCAGCCAGGAAGCTTAGCCTTTGTCCTGTGTACAAAGTGTGAGAGCATGGTCAGATTTGCTTTTTGGAAGAATCACATTACTGATAAGATCAAGGATGGATTGGAGCCAGAGAAACTGGAGGCTAAGACCCAATGAGGAGGAAGCTCTGTGACATTCCTGGCAGACAATAAGGTGACCAGAATTAGATGGAAGCAGTGAGTTGCAGCAGAGGGACAGAATTCAGTTTATCAAGAAAGTGGAGGGCCTGGGATTTAGCTCAATGGTTCCAGACCCTGCCTCGAAAGCCCAACGTCCTGAGTTTGATCCCCAGTACCAAAAAAAAAAAAAGAAGAAGAAAAAGAAAGTGGAATGGAAAGGACTTTGATCATTGTGATGTAGGAGAATGAAGGTGATTAGAAGTTTGTGAGAGTTTAGGAGAGCAGAATTAGGGATAAAATGTTAATTCTCTCTCTCTCTCTCTCTCTCTCTCTCTCTCTCTCTCTCTCTCTCTCTCTCTCTGGAGGGTACTGGGCATCAAACTCAGGGATGCCGTACCATGGTCCTATATCCCAACTCTTTTATTTTGAGACAGGTCTTGCTGTGTTACCCACGTTGGGCTCGAGCTTTCGACCCTCCTCCCTCAATCTCTGAAGTAGCTGGGATTACAGGGGTGTACCACCATGCCCAGCAAGGTGTCAAATTCAGATTTGGGCATGGTATATTAGGGTTATCTGGAGAGAAGTCCATGAAGCAGCTGACTGCTAGGGTGTGGTGTTCAGGAAAAATGATGTGGACCAGAAAGAAAGTAGTTGGAAGGATTGCCTCATGGGATGAAGTACAGTGTCCCAGAGGGCACACGAAGATGACACAGTGAGTGTATATATGTGTACTTGTGTGTGCTGTCCAGTGGAATGAACCAGTGGGAGCCCACTCATTTTTAGGGGGTGGGTACCGGGCATCGAACTCAGGACCTTGCACTTGAAAGGCATTTGTGGTGCCACTGAGCTAAATCCCCAGCCCAAGGGAGCCCACTCATTTATGGACCAGGTCTCTCTTCTTTGATAACCCCAAAAGAAACCAATGAGTGGGCTAGAATGTAAAAAGACAGCAAGAAGGGCAGAGTCTCAGAACCGAAAGAGGCAACATCAAGAGGAATAGCTATTGACCTGCCATTACAGGTGGCTCGGCAGAGAGGACACTGGGAGGTTGAAGAGATGTGTGACCCTGCAGGTGGCGGGCTGTTGCCAAGGATGAATGGTTGTGTGGTGGTGGGGCGGAGGGGTGAATGGATAGGGCAGGCAGGGGATGGGGGTTGGGGTGCAGGGGTGGGTACTGGCGCTGGGTGGCTAGATAGGATGTAGGTGTGCCCTTTAACTCCAAGGCTTGTGTGACTGGAAAGGGAGAAATGTGTGAAGAGAAAAAGGACTACAGATTAAAAGTACTTTTTTGTTGCTGTTTAAATCTTTATTGTTAGCTGAGTGTGGTGATGCATGCCTGTAATCTCGGCACTCTGGGAGGCTGAGGCTGGAGGATTGCAGTTCAAGCCCAGTCTTGGCAGTTTAGTGATTTTAGTGAGATCCTGTCTCTAAATTAAACAAAAAGGGGAGGGGGGAGAAGGAGTGCCTCAGTGTGAAGGTCATAGGTTCAATCCCCAGTACTGTGCATGTGCAAACATACAACACACACACACACACACACACACACACACTCACTCTATTGTTTGTGGCCTCTAAGGAAGGAGCTGGAGAAAGGCAGGAAGTGCTAAGCAGGAGAGGTGGGGACAGTTTAGCAGGCCAGAAAGGGGTTGCCTGCAACAAAAAAAGCAGGGAGGCAGGACGTAAACAGGGAAAGGAAGAGGGTTCTCACCTGATGGCTTGGTTCCTTTTTGAAGCAGAACAGGTCATGTCTGAGAAAGCCTGCGGGGGCCTTGCTTCAGTAGGCTCCAAGCTGGAGATGGTGGGCTTGGAAAAAACTGTGTGAAACCTGAGAAGGGAGTGGGAGGCTGGATGGGGGAGGCTGGTTATGCTAGCAAGAGGGGACCAACTTCCTCAGCACCATTCTGTGTCCCCAGCACCAACCCCAAAGAGGCATCTGCTCTCCTTATTCCTGGCCAGGCAGAGAGAGTGGACACAGCAGTGTGATGAATGCAGGGCAGCCAGCCCTCAGGAGAGGTAGTGGAGGCAAGAAGCCTCCTGGAGACCAAAAAAGAGAGCAGGAGAGGCACAGTGGACAGCCAGGCCCCTGGCCATAAGTGAGATAGAGGGACAAGGAGAGAAACAAGGAGGGAGGGAGGAGGCTAAGGTAAAAGGCTGGGGTCTTGGGAGTCCACCATTATAGACCCAGGCTTCTCCAGCTACCAATAAGTGCCAGATAGAGTATTGACAATGGGACCACAGGCATCGGGGACCTAGAGCCCTGGCCATACCTCGACACCACTGTATCCCAGAGAGCATGTGCAGAATGTGGGCAGGAACTATCTCCCAGGATCCAGGGTGGGCAGGAGGCAGTGCCCAGTCACTGATGCTGTGGAAGACACTGGCCTATCAAAGCCAGGTAGGGGCCTGTGTCTCTCATGGCCAGGCTAAAATGCTGGACCTGATGGTTTCTTGTTCCCCCTGACCTGTTCACTTAATCCTAGTTTGTATCTAAGGATGCAAGTAAAGGCAGTGCCCCCACAGGTACCCAGACTCTGCCCAATGCCCTGGGGAGACCTATTGTCTGCCCTTGGGTTGGTCCCTGTGGAACAAGAGCAAAACACAGCTCAGGTTGTGCTCTCTGCTGCTCTCTCCTGCCTGAGGGGTTTAACTCCTCTTCAGTGACCAGTGCCCCTGAGGACCAGGCCTACAATTCCCCTTGGTCTTCTGGAGGAGAGTAGATGTGTTAGCTTTGGATTCCTGTACTGAGAAGAGGAAAGCACTTTCTCTATCAGGTGGTTCTCCAAGCCTGTGCACAGGCCTGTGGTACTCGTGCAGAGCTTCACTAGGTACCACAAAAACCTGACCTCCCACACTCAAGGGACTTGTATCACCTTTAGAAGGTTTGGGGTCCCAAATTATTTTGCAGTTGCTCCTAAGATGTTGTAGGGGGAAAGGAGGAGAAGAGGGGGCTAGATGGTCCTTCTGTGGATGGGACAGCTGAAGTTGGAGCAGTGCCCTTGCAGTCCTCTCTTGGGCCTCTAGAAGCATCTTCTTAGGGTCTGGGAAGGACCAAAGTCCAGAACCCAGGATCCCTGCTTCTTCCCTCTGCTGTGCACCCACAGAGATAATTATCCCTAAAGTGCTGCTCCTAGGATCCTGCCTCCAGGTCCAGCTGACCTCGGGCAGGGTAGGCCACTAGGTGATGGCTTAAAGCAGTGGTGGTGAACTTATGGCATGTATGCAGCAGTGGGCTGTTTGTATCATTGGAAGCTCCAACACCTTCTTTTTTTTTTTTTTGTACCGGGGATTAGTGGAAGCTCTAAAAGGTCCACCATTTGATTAGAGGCTGCTCCTCCCCACAAAAAAAAATCATGGAGGCATGGAGGGGGACCAGAGGTGGTCTCAACCCTCTTCTCTCTCTTGGGTGAGCTTCAGGCCAGCCCTGCCTATTTATTCTGTGGCTTTTGCTGCCAGAAGCCAGCCCTGGCCTAGGCCCTGGGGTGACTACCAGTGGTTTTCCTTGGCTGTTTGTCCACCTTATTCATAGGGAGAGGGTAGGAAAAGAAAAAACATTCTTGGCTGCTCAGGCTTTGAGGAAGGGAAAGAAATTGAGTACCTGCACGTGCCCCTGCCAGAACTGGAGCCTGCAGGGCTCTTGGGTTCCTCAGCACATGTGAATGGTGGGGGTGGGCACTGCCTGGGCAACCAAGCTGCTCCCAGCTCCCTCACCCTTGCTCATTTAGCATCAAACTGACTCATCTGTTCTGCAGAGCTTGGCAGTGGCTGGAGACATGCTTCTCCCTTCCTTTCTACAACCTGCCCTCTGATCTTTTCCTCTCTATCCCCAGCTCCATCCCATACTTGGATCTTCTTCAGCTCTCCTTAAATCTGAGCGAGGGACCAGGACCTTGGACCCACAGCCCCACCTCAAGGGAATCTGTCTCCTCTCACTGGGAAGGACCACAATCCAAAGTAGGGTCTGGAAGGTGAATCTGGCTGATTCCTGATTGCTATGCAGAGACCACGAGCTGGGTCCATCTCTTATACACACTCCCCACCATGACAGGCATGGGTGCCCTTCTGTCTGGTGCAGAACCCACACCTAAGAATGAGTTCCACGCTTCCTGGAAGAATCCTGTTGATAAGACTTTGCAGAAGCCCATTCTGCCTGTCACTTCTACTCTTCTCATTCCTTTTTCGTGCTGTTCTGTGGGATGTGAGCAGGAAACAATGGGATTTTTTGCAGTTACCAACAAGGTAGGTGTTTGGGGGATCTTGCTTTCCTGCATCAGGACCATGATGATACTAAAAGCCTTGTTTGAGTACCACTTGCCTGCAACCTGAGCAAGAGGTTGGGAAACCAGGGCTAGGATTTTAGAATCCAGGCCCTGTCCTCCTTTCCCCATAAACCTATTCTGCATAAATTGACTTCCTCTTGGCTCCCTCTGACACAAAACCTCGGAACATTCTACCTCTTAGCATGGAGGTTCCAGACTCCTTCACATGCCAGCTTATTTCCATAACTTTGCCCTGAGTTTGCCTTTGGGGTCCCACCCCACTCCATACACCTCCCATTCTTTCTCCAAAACCCTCTACATCAGAGCTGGTTCAACTACCTTGGCACCCCTGAGACTTGTTCTATTACATCTGGCCCACTGAAATTGGAGGCTTCTCTTTCCTTATCTGGACAGATGATTGTCACCTCCAGAGATGTGCTGGAGGGATCCTCAGAGCCCAACCCCTATAGGTATTCACACACACACACACACACACACACACACACACACACTTTTGCTTACACACAGAACCCATTTTTGTAAACATTCATGTGCCTGAGACACTCTGAGGCTACCAGGGAACCTAGGCTTCACTGCCTTCCCTAGACCTCTGGCACCTAGGCCACAGAGAGTTGTAGTGAGTGACACCTGCATCACTTCTTCCTACTTCCTGTTGTTTTTAGGGCTATTTATATGTTCTCTAGAAAGTGGGGAATGCTGGGTACTTGGCCAAGGCCAAATTCCTGGAGTAGGAGACAAGGTTTGTGGATCTTAGGTCCTCCTTCTGAGAGTCTCAAAGGTTGGGTCCAGCATACTTTGACCTTCCATCTTAGGGAGGTTTTATTGAGCCCCCTTCCCGGTAACATCACCTGGAAGTCCTGTGTTCTCCATGCTAACTCCCCACTGCGTCCCTGCCCCCTGAGGCATCCAGACCTATCCTTCACTGACCTTCCTGTGTGCTCCTGGAAGTCGTCTCCCTTCAGACCCCAGAGTGATTTATCTTTCTGGCTTCCACTTTTTTTTTTTTTTGAGATAGGGCCGCGCTCGCTCTCTCTCTCTCTCTCTCTCTCTCTCTCTCTCTCTCTCTCTC